GGAATATACCTGGACCTATCTAAAGCCTTTACTGTCGACCATACCAACCTCCGCGCAAAGCTTGAACATTACAGCATTAGGGGCTTATCCCACAATTGGTTTATCTCCTATCTGTCTAACAGGAAGCAGTATGTCTGCTATAATAATCATCAATCTGACGCCTCACCAATTTTGTATGGCGTCCCCCAAGGTTCCATTCTCGGTCCTGTAATGTTTTTGTTGCACATAAACGATATAGTCCACTCCTGCACACTCGTCAAATACAACTTATTTGCAGACGATAGTAATCTCGATGCCAGCAACTCAGATCTCCATTCTTTGATGAGAATTATGAACACTGAATTGACCAAAGTTAGGACCTGGGTAATACGTAATAAACATCGAAAAAATACATTACACAATCTTTCACAGAAGGAAATACCTACCCCTAGGTTTGGACCCCCTGTACCTTGGTAATACAATCCTCAAACGTGAACAAATCTAAATTCCTTAGGGTTATTGTTGATGAGAAACTTAGTTAAAAAAACCACATACAAGCCATTCACAGTAAAGTTAATAAGCAGTAAGGTATCCTTATTACACTCGTCAGTCACTCACTCGTGCAGCAATGAAATAAATTTATTATGACCTTGTTTACCAACACTTGATACACTGTCACACTATGAGGGGCCTCCGTTTACTGAACAGAAGAGAGTTGTGTGGACAATGACCCACATAGAAAAAAAAAATGATCAAACTAACGAACAATTTGCTCAATTGAAAATTTTAAAATTCGAGGATATATTAGCACCTATTGCTGTGTCTGCTTGTTTACAAATATGTCAAATACTTGATTGACAATAATTACTTCGTTCCGGAATAATCGATACAACTTAAGACACCCAGAGCTACTAAGACCCCCCAATGAGCTTTTCTCTATCCCAGACCTCCATAAAATATCATGATGTGAAGGTGTGGAACTTACCCCCACCCATCCGAGCAAAGACTGCGCTTCCTTCCTTTAAATCATTGATTAAAAAATATCTGTTGTTTAAGTATTAATATTCTTGTAAGACCTACTTTGTATTCCTATTTGTACTGTACCACCAAAACCATTATATCATAGATTGTCATGTAGATATAGAAATTACCATTGCAATAATTATAGATGCCAACTAGACATGATACTAACAGCTCTGTTCTCTTGTTCCACCTCAATAAGACCCATGTTATCCTGCTCCCCCCCTTATCATAATTATGTATATCAACACCACTGTAAAATATGTATATACTAAGATTATAAATGTAAAAAAAATATAAATAAATAACGAAGTGATAACCGTGGTAACATTCTGATATGTTCTTATTACCACCAGGCTGTGTGTACTATTCCAGATGATACTAAATGTTACAAAATACTTCCTTGAGATAAACGTACAGTATATCGGGTGCCTTCAAGAGAGCTCAGGCTCTCAAATGGGTCAGGCATGTTAATATTGTTATTATTATCGACTCTTGTTTTTCTGGCTAAACGAACTGTTTCAATATAAATATTCAATATCATTACAAAACACCAAATATATTATATTCAGAAAGGGGTCCCCCTTAGTGATGAGGGCCCTGTGTAGCCGCTCAAACCGCACATAGCTGGGGCCGGCCGTGGTTAGGTTTGGTTTGCTAGAAGTTAGGCAAAATTGTTAGGTTATATTAGGTCAGGACCAATTGAAGCAACATTAGATTAGGTTAGACTTAGTATGAGCTATGTTAGGTTAAGTCAACGTCAATTTAGGTAAAGTAAGGTTTGTGTTACTGTACATTAGTATTAAGCTAGGTGATGTTAGGTCAGATTAGGTTAGAACAAGGTTACCGCTAGCCTAGCGTTAGGTTAGTATAGCCTTAGGTTACGTCAGTGTTAAGTTTGGTACAGTCAGGTCAGGTTAGAGTTATGCAAGGTCAGCATTAGGCTAGGTCAGCATCAAGTTAGGTAAAGTTAAGTCAGATTAGCATTAGGTTAAATTAAGTTAGGTTAGTATCCAGCTGGATAAAGTTAGTGTGGTAAACATTAAAAAGTTGCCAACCCTTATACATTGAGTCCAACAGTACATAGGGAGAGAGAGAAGACTAACAATAATTTATTCTGTGTACTGTATAGCATTCCCATTGGAAATTTACACTTTTCGAGTATTTTAACTGATAAAATTACCAACGATATTACTTGTTGAAAGTGAGCAGGGCTTTGAAGTAGATGAAAAATGTGCGATAAAATACTACAAAAAATGAACTTTATTTAACCTTTAAAAATCCTTAAACTATAAAAAAAGGTTTTACCTTATTCATGTTTTAGGTATTTAGTATGAGATGATGTTTCCTGTGCTCAGATGAGAAGGGATCCATAAACTCGAAAGCAATTCTTAACATTTTTAAAAATTACGAAAGGTTAGGCAAGGTTTTCAAAGATTTGTTTGTTCTTTTGGTAAATTGTTACAAGTTCCCGTAATGATTTTGGACGTGAAACTTACGTTTTTCCAAAGGTTTTTGATGTGTTTTGGATGATTCAGGCTTTCATTTCTAACTCTAATGACTCGTTTTCGAGTTTGACAATTTGGAGACCCGTGGGAAATTGGGGGTTTTGGGTGCGGGAGAGCAAAAACGAGTGAAATGCTATATAAATGACCAAAGTAGTCTCGGATTTTTTTCAGCCCAAAAAAAAAAAAAAATATCCGAGCCCAGTTTTGAGGAAAGCTTATCAAATTGGAATGAATCGCACCAAAACCCATCGGAAAAGCCAAGGTTTCATCTCAAATCAGTTTGCGCTAACTTAACCGTGATTGTTCAAAACATATTATATTACCTAATAACCAAGGGAGGGCTCCGCCCCCAGGACCCCCCCAACAGAGTTCAAATCGAAAAAACTGCTGCCATGTGGCATCACAAAAATTTTGACCAAGTTCCAGGTTGATGATCCGACTTTCTGCCTGATTTACACAATTACGAGATCTCAATTGTTTTTCTTATTTTGACTACACGACATTCACATTTATTTTCTCACTATTTTTTATCGTTCTTTATTAAATTATATATTATATATTTTCATTTAATATATATTTTTTTATGAATTTTTATTATTATTTTGCCCCGGCCCCTGATGTGGGTCATAGACCTGTGCCCGGGTGGGATAATCCCGTAAAAAAAAAGAAAAAAAAGCTCTCTGGGGACACTGGACTTCGAAAATATTTGAGGACTCCCTATCTAATTAATGCGATTTTCTTAGAAATTAATTATTTATGACGGAAACGTTACTAAGACAAGTTGTTATTAGAAATGACGAGAAACTCCTAGAACTTGACCCAAAAATATTATGGGACACACGGGCAACTTAAGACAAAAAATAGTTTGAACATTTTATCCCAAGTATTCCCTCAATTTCAACAACTAATATTGTGGGTAGTTTTATCAGTTAAAATACTGGAAAAATATAAATTTCCGACGGAAACGCTATAACTTTTTACTTTTATTTTTTATCCTCTTCGCCACTGATGGCTTGTTAGCCACTTGGTCAGTTGGTCACGTCTCTGATACGCACTGTCGGCATGCACTGGTTCCTGAATGTACCTGAACCTGGGAGATACACTGAACACTCTGGCAGGTTGTTCCAAGAGTTCACAATTCAAAATAAATTGTTTGTATTATTTTTTCTCTTTTTCCCTATACAAGACTCAATATATAAGTAGGTGTTGGCAACTCCTAAATATTAACCCAGTGTTGTCATATTGTACTGGAGTATAAAAACGTGACCCTCCACTGACACCTCTGTGGGTCATTAAATATCTTGGGTGGCTCATTAACACCATCTGGGGATTAGCGTTCGGTTAGTTAGGGTGTTTAATCTTATGGTGAAATAAGCTGAGAGGGGGGGACTAATTTTCACGTGATCCAATAAAATACTATGGAAATTAAAACTCCTCGACAAAACATATTTGCCGAATTCAGTGAATGATATATTGTACCGTGTGTATTGTAATTTTACTTGCCTCAAAAAATACTCTTCATAATCACAGAAGTGATAACTATTTATTGTAATACCAAGTTCTGGGGCGGATCCAGGAATATTAAAAGGGGAGAGGTCCAAGAAGTCGTGGGTTGGGGGGGACATGGCGAGCCCAGTGAGCCCGCCCTGCTGAGGGAGGGGGGCGGGGTTGCGCTATAAGACCCCCTTTTTTAAATCTGATCAATATTATGGGCATTTTGAAGCCATGTGCACTTGGTATTAGGAAATATTCTAACGCCAATAGTAAAACTTTACTGTACACAAACGCCTGAGTTCATTATTGCATTTAGAAAAAGTATTGGAATTTCTGCTGAAAATGGGGGGTCCGAACTCACAGGACCCCTCTGGATCCGCCTTTGAAGTTAGTAATTCAATCACAATCGTGACGCTCGGCTACTAATGGTAAATGAACACTTTAAATCAATTGGTCAACACAGTACAGTATTATAGCTTGGTAGTGTTCACCAAAATCAGACAAAAAGACTCTAAACGGTATAAAACTTTTAAGATGTCTCAAAAGTTATGAAAAGTTTGACTTAAGGTTAAGGATGATATCCCAAAAGGAGGATACAGTAATAATATACGTAATAAAAGATGTGGAGAATGTTCGCGGCAGCTATCCACCTTGCTGTAAAAATCAATACCATTTGTAGTGATACACCTCGTGGCTGCTCCAGTAGAACGCTCTAACCTTGCACTCATTACATCAAAGTAAATATAGTCAATGGTACGCAAATAAAATTGTACCATAAGATTACATAAGTAAGTTTAAGTAAGACAGCTCATTGTATGTAATGATTGGTGAGGGAGCGACGCAACTATAGGCCTAGCAGCCGTCACTGCTGCTGCAGTATTGACTGGTCGATGCCAAGCTGATGTGTGGAATTTATCAAGTGTCTACCACACTAAAACATTGTCTGTCGAGTTTCAGAAGCAGGGACATAACCTAGCTGGCACAGGTATATCTACTCACCTTCATATCATTGATGACCATTTGGAAAAGTCCTGCCAACGCAGAACAGTCGCGATCCAGTGTCTGTATCACCTCCATGGTGCGAAATATCGACTGCTCACCGTCAACTAAAATGCCCTTAGACCACTAAGAACCCCATTACTCACACACTATAACCCTTAAAATCCCTTGGGAAGACCCAGGGTCCACAGTGATCTTCGTGACTTGCTACAAAAGACTCCTTTTCCTGATGTTTACACCATTTCTTTCACCATGACACAACAAAAGAGCAACAGGACCACCACAAGTAACTGCTACTCAGCCACTGAATCTGTTCCAATCCACCGACGAAGCGACGACCCACGCTACGACATTGCCAGACGCGGAGGCGGGTCATGGAAAACGTATTGTACCAAATACAGTAATAAGCTCTAATGGTACTCATAACCGTAGAGGAACAACACTTTGTTATAGTCATGTGAGGTCTACATACATAATCACTTCTTTGTGTTCATATCTTGATATGATAAATACATTACAGTACTGACCTGATAATGGAAGCGGGTTAACAGCTATATTTAGATTTATTAGCACAACCATTGACCTTTCTAGACAAAAAAAATCGATATTTATTCAAGCAAGTCGACACAAAATTCCGATTGTTTCGGCATTCACATAGGCATAGACAGTACAGAATACACTGACAAACACTAATAGTAACTCAATATAACCAAGGAAGCCTTTAAACGCATAAATCCATTGTATTAAAAAGGAGAGCAGTGGCTAGTAACCTTATACACTCAGGAATACGGGTAACAACGGGAATGGGACTAATCTTTGATCCATCTATAAAGAATATGTCATTTAATTTCAACACGCTGAAACGTAGTCAGGAAATCTGCTTCCAGGTGATTCGATCACAGCTTGCTTAATTAATTTTCAAATTCCGATTCCTCAAACAAAGTTTTAACGAAAATGGATAAGAAATGGAAGTTATACAGAAGTGAATCTAGCGGAGAGCTTATCTAAAAATATTGTTACAACCCTCCTCTTTTCACCACTTACCCAGCTTCCACCACCGGTTATAATATCCGAGCAGGATAGGACTCGTAGCAACGGATCTAAGTTGGATAAGTTTAGGTTTAGGAGGGAGATAGGAAGGAACTGGTTCACAAATAGGGTGGTGGACGAGTGGAACAAGCTTAGCAACTTTGTAGTAAGTGCTGGAACGCTGGAGAGTTTTTAAAGGAGGCTAGATAGATTCATGGATGATAGAGAGTGGTAGTAACTCGACATGAGCTGCCATGCACAGGCCAAATGTCCTATTGCAGACTCCCTATTTTCTTATGTTCTTATATACAGAAGCAGTAGATATCTCACAAGAGTTTTCGAATTACCACTGGCTGTCCCTCCAGTCTCCGGTAATTTGCCGATGATCGGTATCAGTGAACAGACAAACAACGGGAAGGTAGATTTCCACCAGGTCACAGAAACACACTTGTGCACTGTTGTCTTCTTTAATAAGTATAAATTCTTCACGGCTCTGTTAACAGGGTAATGGCTTCACAGCTTGACTACACATTTCGAAGATAAAGTAAGCAAAACTCCCAGTGTACAATTCCTTATTCTTCTCACTTTATATTAATCACAACAATTCCACAATACTTGCACAACAATTATCTTCAGTTGTTCTGCTAGGCTTATTCTTTACACTAGAAACAGATGCGATCATCTAACTCCTGATGATGATGATGGGATGGAGAAAAGAGAGCCGTTTGCTCTGAAGATGGTAGACAGTGTAGGAGGAAAGTAAAGTTAGGAAGTGGAAAATAAAGTGAGAGATTTGATAGCAGGTGGGCTCTCCACTTTGTGGGGACGGGGTTATGTCTGCCATGACAGCATTTCCGCAGATCCATCTCGGCAAGGGAAGACAGGCTAAATTAAGCTAAAAAAATATTCCCTCGAATCTTGAAAGAGTGTAGGGAACAGATTAGCGGACCCCTCGTAAATTTATTTACAAAATCATTAGACACGGGAGTTGTGCCAGACTTGTGGAAACAGGCAAATGTAGTACCCATATTCCAAAAGGGAGACAGAGCATCAGCGTCAAATTACCGGCCGATCAGTTTGACTTCAGTGGTGGGGAAATTTCTTGAATCAATTATAGCAAATAGCATCCGATCGCATTTAGAGTAAGCAAATTAATCTACGACTCTTAACATGGGCTTACAAAGGGAAAATCTTGTCTAACAAATCTGCTGACGTTTTTTAGGAAAGTCTTCGAGGTAGTAGATAATGACGAAAATTACGATGAAATTTACTTAGATTTTAGCAAAGCATTTGACAGACTACCGCAACAGAGGCTTCTGAGAAACGTTAAGGCTCATGGTATCGAGGGGAAAGTTTTAAATTGGATAAAATCATGGCTCACCGATAGAACGCAGAGGGTCAGCGTAGATGGTGTTAAATCTGAGTGGGGCCGTGTAACCAGTGGGGTTCCCCAGGGGTCAGTACTAGACCCACTCTTGTTCATAATCTACATAAACGATCTAGATACTGGGATCAGCAGTGACATAAGCAAGTTTGCAGATGACACCAAAATAGGGGGGCAGATTAATTCAAGGCAGGATGCAAATGCACTACAGGAGGATTTAAATAAACTGCAGGAGTGGTCAGAAAAATGGCAAATGAAATTCAACACCAGCAAGTGCAGTGTATTTAATATTGGAAGAACAAATACTGTCAATGTATACAGCCTTAACAACATCAACCTAGAGAAGTTGACTTGTGAAAGAGACTTAGGGGTACTTGTAAGCCCGGACCTACGGCCTAGAAAACAGTGCGTTAATGTTCGAAATAAGGCAAACAGAGTATTAGGTTTTATATATAGACGTGTAAGTAATAACAGTGCAGAGGTCTTATTGCAACTATATCTTGCGCTAGTCAGGCCGCACCTCGATTATGCGGTTCAATTCTGGTGCCCTTGTTGTAGAATGGATATCAATTCACTGGAGTCGGTGCAACGAAGAATGACGAAAATGATTCCGGGACTTAGAAACCTTCCATATCAGGATAGGCTAAAGAAACTAAACTTGTATTCCCTAGAAAGACGAAGAGTGCGGGGAGATATGATAGAAGTATTTAAGTGGGTGAAAGGAATGAATAAAGGGGATATAAATAAAGTTCTTATAATATCCGAGCAGGATAGGACTTGTAACAACGGATTTAAGTTGGATAAGTTTAGGTTTAGGAACGAGATAGGAAGGAACTGGTTCACAAATAGGGTGGGAGACGAGTGGAACAAGCTTAGCAACTTTGTAGTAAGTGCTGGAACTCTGGAAAGTTTTAAAAGGAGGCTAGATAGATTCATGGATGATAAAGAGTGGTAGTAACTCTCGACAAGAGCTGCCATGCACAGGCCAACCGGCCTATTGCAGACTCCTTATTTTATCATGTGTTCTTATGTTCTTAAGAACTAACTCCCCCTTATATACTCCTCGTCAGGCGCTTCTCGAACATCCTAGAATCACCCAGAGACGCCTGGGAGATTCTAGGACGTTCTACTCTGATCGAGGCTTACAATAATAAGTAAATCAGAACTAACATGATGCAATACATTCTAGAATATTCTTACATAATTAATACATCAATATATACGCGAAAATTTCACCAAACTTGCCAAAATAATTGCTGCATGGGACAGAAAACAATTATAACACCTAGTTTACAAAATTACAATACGAAATTATTCCTCGGCATAACAGTATAAAATAAAAGAGACCGTGTAAAAAAAAACTAGACGAAAAATTAAATGAGAAAAGACATTACCACATGGAAATGTACAGATAAACAAGAGAAAATGATCCCTAAATTTGTTAATAAAATATAAGGCAGCTGTTGTTAGCAAGATAAGAAAATGATAAGACGTGTGTCTTTGATCGCCTTTAAACAGTTTATAAATTAATTAGGCAGGAATGAACCTACATGCGGCATCGAATGACCACACGCGTGAACGCACTACCTTGGTTTAGGAGAGAAACGTGTGTTTTCTTTGATGAATCACACGTAGACGCGTGAAGCTTTCGCGAGCAACCGGGAAGCAGAAACTGGACGCGCGACCCGGAAGCAGCTATCAAATATTTTGATTATTGCTTCCTCAGTCGCGCGAGTCCTCGCATTCTCCACCAAAACGCAAGAAGGCTATACTTCATTTTCCACTGTTAACTCAATCTTGCCAAGAAATAGATCCTTGTGGACTATTAAAGTAGCTGCAAAATGTTTCTCTCACATTCTTCGCAAGCAGTGTTTATTCTAGAGGGTGTGCTGTGTTATTCTCAACTGTACATTCTTGATTTGCATATGACTTTACATCCAGACCCTTTGTGTCGATGATATTATGGGAAAGTGTAGCACACCTTACAATGTCAACAGCAGTATCTACTTTTGTTTCAATAGCTTTATTACAAACGTTTCCATTTATTTGCACAAATTCCAAATGCACTCACTACAACACGCCTGGCACGAGACAATCCGTATATATTCTTTTTTCTATGTTCAGGGCATTATCAGGCATGCCAAACGGGCATTTAATGCATTAACAAACTATCTAGCTCCGTTGCTGTACATTTTGGTATGAAAATCAGTATCATGGGTCAGATCAATTTCTTATATCTATTACTTGCAATCTAATCAGAGTTTAGCTTGCCAGGCAACAATGAAATGGGCGTTAAATGCACAAACTGATAACGTGTTTCTTACGACCTCATCAAAACAAAGACAAGGGCCTACTGAGAGTTTGCTGTTAGATCTTGGAGATAAGACTCATTTTTTTCCGAATATTATTTACTTTCTAAAATATAAAACTGACAATAATTTCAATACAAACATCAGATTCTCTGATGATTGGGAATCAAAATGATCTAACTTCAGCATCAGTTTGGCACTCATGGCGTCCCTAGGGACGGGTCAGGTATTCGTCACTTCTCCTGGCAGACTCTACTCAAACTTATTTGACAATTTTTACTAACAGTAAATACAGTTGAAGCTATCAACTTTACTCACAAAGGGTCTTGAATGTTTCATCTGTAATCAGACATATCTAATTCAATGGAAAACAGGCGTGTTCTCTATTAATTTCAAATCTCTGAACAAGATATGAAGTATTAAGAAATATCAGAGTCTCCGAGGTACACGAGAGAAAACGGAGGATTCAAGCATACTGAAGCGTTGAGAAAATGGATGAATCAATAACGAAGTCATAGCAACACGTTTCATGGGTTATTGAGCGTAATATGAAGCGTCTAAGATTACGTTA